TTTTTTTTGTTTTTCTCTCCAATGTTTTTAAACATTGTTTTATTGTTGTGGTTTTTTTTTTGTTTTTCTCTTGCATGTTCAAAATAAAGATACCAATCTAATAAAAAAACAAAAAGAATACTAAGGCTGTTTAAAAGCCTCTCAAAGTTGTTGCGCTTTCTGAACCATTCCCATAGCGGTCACCTGGTATAACCCCCCCCCCCCCGACACGTGTTTTGGGGAAATGCCCCCTCCATTACTCGACACACGCCTCAAAGCATCGGCTCATCTCATGACATCACTAGTGACCGCAGACAGGAGGCCCCTGATTGGTCAAATCTACATCCGCACTACTCTATGCGTATTTCCTGTTTGGTACCTTATCAGCTTGTTTTGTTTGTATGACCGCCATTGTGGAAAACGACTCGTGAAGAAGGTAGAAGAGCGAGGTGCGCGACAACGCTGGGACCCTTTTCCCACCTGGATCCCCGCTCTTTTTTGCCCTCATGTCTCTCCGTTGTCACACAAACTCGCCCCCACTTCCTCACCGCCTCGGCCGTATCTAGATGGTATAAACAGTGGGGCGATCGTTGCTTTGTGGTCACCGCACCCAAACTGTGGAACTACCTGCCCCTCTGTCTGAGGGTTCTCACTGATCTGCACCTTTTTAAGTCCAGATTAAAGACTCATTTTTTAAGCTGGATTTAATACTTAGGACACATTATTTTATGCCTATGATTTTAGTATAATTTTTTTTTTGCAATGTTTTTATCGTTCTGTGAAGCCCTTTGGTCTCCTAGTGTTGTTGTAAAGTGCTATATAAATAAACTTTGATTTAATTTTTGGTTTTAGATCCAAAGCTAGTTCCTGATTGTCCCTATTGCGTTGTGGTGTGGAAAAACAGAATATCTGCGACAAGCTCACTGAGCAACACTGCTGCGGGAGGATAACAAGCCCTTTAGACAACATTTATTGTCATTTTGTATCACAGAGCGTTTCAGAACATTTCCATTCCATAAAGTTCAGAGGTTAATGAACAATCCTCTTGATACAAGAAAAAAATAAAGTTTCTACAAAAGCTGCTTATCAATAACTTATTAGTCCATCAATAAGATCAATAAATGATTTGGTAATTTATCAGTTCATAAATTGCAGCAACGATGCAACTTAGTTCAGTTTGACACACTTCAGCTACATACAGCAAACACCAGAGGAGCGCTTAAGCAAAAAATGACGACACATCGACAACCATCGCCTCAAAGAAAATCAACATTTAAGACAGATCTCTTTTTATAGCTGTAATCTAACTTCTTTTTTATAGTTGAAAACCTTCAGAGACCCATCAGAGTCCTGTTTAATGAACCTCTTACTTTCGCTTTGTGAGAATTTCATCCCACCTCGCTAATAGCTGCTAATTAAAGACACATACCAACCAAATGCACTTTAATAGTCAGGTTTTAATGAGGTTCATAGACCAGAAGTCTTCAGTAAAGGAGGCATTTCTTTTATGGAAGCTAGTTTATAGTATCTAACATGTGAGCCATGTATAAACGGGTTTAATCTTTGTCAGACCGTCCCCACATTACTGTGAGTGGTTTAGCTGTTCCTGCTGCTGTGTTTACATTTCCAAGATGGATCCTGCACTGAGAGGGATGCATGTGTGTCGAGGCTCTTCCTGGTAACGTGACGCAACTGTGCACTCTACAGTGCAACTCAAACTCTTTTCTATCCAAAAACTGTCCAGGCTCTCTATAAACCCCCCCGTTTTCTAGCCTGGAAACACCTAACAAGCCTTTGACTTTTCCAGGATAATCTAAAGCAGGGAGAGCTAAAAAAACAAACAAAAAGAAACGAGAGGACTTCCTTTGTTTTCCTGGAACAATGGCGGATCCATGATCACAACAAAAACAAGTCAGCATGTTACTCCCACTCTATTAAAAGAACGACATTAGGAAGGTGACAAGCACCTTATGGCGCTAAAAATAGCTCTGATTCAATTGGGTTACCTCATGTCGGCCGTTACTCTACATGAGTGGAGAGTTCAGACTGAACAGGATGGAAGCTTAATGGGATTAAGGGGCAGGACGACCCGATGTGAATCCAGACACCTTTAAAGCTGGTACCGTAAAGTAACATGGGTAAACATTGAAGATCTGATTATATTAGAATATGTCCTTTAATATAATGTGATCTGTTCCCTGATATGGATGTTTAATGAGGTCCAAGCGCAGAAGGAACCTCCATCTATCTGTACTGATGCTGCAGCCAGCGGTAATTCAATCCACCGCCGCCCATCACTTTCAATAAACCACCTCATTCAACTAAACCACAACAACAAGGAGGAAAATCAGGTTTCGCTGGCCTCCCTGGGTAAAGGTAAATAAAGCTGGTTATTTCATGGACTCTACAGCTGGCTGAATGTGGAGCGTTTACCTGGAGCTCTACTGGAGCTAAACGCGCCGTGTATTTACAGGGATCAGCTGTGGATCCAACGCTGAGGAGGAACTGAAGCTTCTCTCCAACCACGCTGCAGGAGGCGGCCTGTCGGCGGGAAGAAAAAGCGAAAGCAGTTTAGATCAGGAGGGGAACTAAAGGCACAGACGTCTGAATTGAAAGGAACAAACATCTAAACAGGAATTTGATCGCTAAACAGGCGGCTGATTAGAAATGCACATGTCCCTTCAGTTACTCATCATAAGGATGGATTTATTCATTTTACAGGAAATACTGATAAAAAACTATTTTCTAAAACAATAAAATGAGTTTATGGCAGATTTTTCCCTGATTCATTCAGGATTAAAACAAACAAACGGGCTGAAACACGTTTATTCGTATCTGAATAAACGTTGCAGGTTTTACCTCCACTGCTCAACCAGTTCTCTAGTTGCTCCTGAACATAAAATCTATTTTTTTTATTTTATCCGATGTCACAGTTTGAGTTGGATGGTTTGAAAAGTATGGAGTGATTTTTGTTACATTCATGTTGCAGCAAAGAACACTTTTTATAAATGGAATTTTGAAAGTAAAAAAAACTATCTAGAAATTAAATATTAAAAAGTTGTTATTTAAAAAAAGGTTTCTTGAGTAGCTTTATTGTTTTCTTATATTTTATTTCTTTTTTGCACGTTGTTTATTGTTTTGCTGATTTTTTTTTTCAAACTTAAATCATTTGAAGTTCTCCTTTTCAGATGCAGTTTTACAAATAACATTTTTTATTGTGTTTTACAGATCGAATTCTCTTTAATTCAAGCCCAATATAAACATTTACTGTGAATTATAATAAAAAATATAAAATTGTTATCGCTAACATCTATGATGACCGATAGAAATGCGTCTCTGCTCCTCAGATCTGTGAAATCCAACCTCAAAAAGAAGGAAATTCGTAAAAACAAGCTGAAAAAGAGAAATGTTACAAAAAAATGTATATGAAAAAAATAAAACATGGAACTAATAATCTAAGTCGTTAACCGGGGTAACTTCATTTGTTATCATTGTCAATGAGCTCTATGTGAGCTAAATTGTATATGGGATCTATTTCCCACTGCTTGGCTTTTATTGGTCCTTTAATTCTGCTGCTCAGCTCTAAATCAGCAGAACCTCCATCTCTGAACTGATGGTCTCTCTTCTTCACCTTTAATCTTCTTAATGAATACTTTCTTAGGTGGACTGCATCACTTTTATGAAGTTAACTGGAGTTTAGAAAGCTTGCTGAATCTGATGTGGCGAATGAGAAGTATTCGTAGAAATTTTCAACACGACTATAAAACAGATTTGGTCCATCAGAGCCAATGAATCTACACATAGAGGATTGCTATAAACCTTCCTGAATTCAGCCTTAATACAGACTGATGGGCTAACACAAAAGAGAAATTAGCTCCACACTAAAAAATTAATGATCAAATATTCAGCTGCGATGAAGCTGTCTGCAAAGACTCAGCTGCTAAGAGATGCCATCAAATTAATGTAAGGGGCGGGGCTATGCATTGAGCATGTGTAGATGGCTAGTATGGAGGGTTAAACGGATTAAAAGTTAAAAAAAAATTAAATTTTACATAAAATACTGAAATGTAAAATTGAAAGTCCAATCAAATAATTAAATGTAATTAAAGTCTTTTGGATAATGGAACTTTGTTGATCTCACATTGGAGTAATTTACCTCTCCATTAAATTGGCCATTGTGGGGCGCCCAGGAAGTAATCGGTGCTTAAAGGTCGTGCTCAGAGACCCAGAGTGGCAGTCTTTGGGAGTGGGTTTCAAACTCACAACCTCATGATTTCAAGCCCTATGCTCTAACCACTAGGCCACCATTCCCTAAGTAGCAGACTCATCATGAAATAAAAAAAATCAGACTCAGTGGGCGGGGCTAGAGCCGCTTCCATAGAAAGCCTGATGTCTGATTGGCTGCTTCTCGCTGAAAAAGTGCGTAAAGTAAGAAGTAAAGCAACTTCTTCCTGAATTTATTTTACTCTTGAGTCAATAATATTGCTCAAAAAGGCGTAAATAACTTTGGAAAGGTGTTTATTAACATCATATGAACCCCAGCCTCTACGTTCCTTGTGTTTGGATTTCATAGGGGCTGAAACAAACAAAAAAAAACAACAACAAAACAAACAAAAACAATAAATTCCTCTGAAAACAGAGGAAGTCAGATTTGTAACCATGCAGAGGGTATGTAAACATCTAAACTGGTTTCTGTATAAAAAAACATAACATGTGACCGCATCACAGAGAGCTGAAAAAAAAAACCCCACTTCATTTGGTTAAAGCTGTTTGAAATCAGATTAAAGCGATCATAACCTGCAGGGCTGTAAACTACAGGACAATATTCTGAATGGGGTATAATGTCAAACAGCAGGGTTTATAAACACAGTCTGGGTTTATAAACACACTCTGGGTCTATAAACACACTCTGGGTCTATAAACACACTCTGGGTCTATAAACACACTCTGGGTCTATAAACACACTCTGGCTCTGGCTCAGACCTGCTGCAGCTCTAAAGCCAGGTCTCTGTGAAAGTCGCCTCCATTGCTTCAGTCAGAGATGCAAACTCACAGCTTCGTTGTAACGTCGGTGACTTTGCAGGGCTGTCGGCGTTTTTCTCTTACAGTGACGAGAATGAGGAACTTCACTCAGAACCGATTTGCATGTTGTCTTTAGACATCTACACTTCATTAATCCTGCTCTGTTGTTTGAGCAGGTACCGTCTGCATCGTTAATTCTTCACACACTGGTGAAGACCTACCGCCTTAAACAGACATCAAAAAGTGGTGGTTAAAGCCGCCTGACCCTTAACAGGGAAAAGTTAGATTTTTATGAAAAGTTCCAGTGATGCTTTTTAGGACCTTATATCCCACATCTTACTCCCTCATAGCCTTTTTCCTGCTGGAGCAAATCACCAACACTAACGTCATATCTCAAAAACCTTATGAAGGGTTTCCAAATTTCCTCATAGACATGTCTTTTTTGTTTAATTATTTTCCAATATCATGTTTGATGCCATCTCTTTAATCCATCTTCCAATTCTTGGAGTTTCAACGTATTTTTTCCCAATAGAGAGAGATTATACGTTTAGCTTGTAATATACACATATCTACTAACCTAGATTCTTTACTTATTAATGTGGAGCAGTTGGATATACGCCCAGAAGGAAAAGCTTGGGATGCAGCGGGTGGCTTCTTAGTTAATATCTTGTCAATCCTGTTAATAACATCTTGCCAATCTTGGTATAGTTACTGCTCTAAGTAGGTCAGTCAGCTAGAGCTAAGCTTTAGAGTCTCTCCAGTTAACAGTTAATCTAAAACTAATTTAGTTGAGGGTTATTTCAACAATCGATAAATCCAAGAATTTGTTTCAGCCTTGATTCTCTTATATTTGTTAGTATATTATTATTTTTTGTTTATTTAAATTTAAACTTTTGTAAAATTTTTTAAGTGTTCAAGAGAAAGAAGTATCTTCTTCAAAAATTTGCCCTGGAAAAAATCAGCAGCACAAAAGAGCGGTCAGTTAGAACAGGGCTTTCAGCCTGGGACACCAAAAATAACAATGCAACTGACGGCGGACTCCTTAAAAATGCATATACAGAAGCAGCCATTCAAAACGGCCCTTCCCAGGCAAACGCCAGCAGTATGGCAGCCCACTTCCCTGCAGCTCCCAGTGAAATCCCCTCCAACTTCCAGCCAGTGGCCTTCTCCTGGACGTTCATATTTATTTACTCTGACTCCACCCTTTTACTGAATTACAGGGTCTAACCAGGAGATGATGCTTCTCTTTAGATCTTAATGTCCACAAATCCTGACAGAAAGAATATTTTAGTACAAAGATTGATGTTTAAAAAGGAATTGCAAAGGACCAGCCAAGGACTCATCAAGGAAAGAGGGGAAATTTTGCATGGCTACAACTATATTTATTTCACTCTACATTCATTTATGCAAATAAAGTGAATAATATGAAATGTTAAATCAATTTTTTCTTTCAAAATGATATTCAATCATTTAATTAATCTTTTTAAATGCATGTCAATTATTTAATGGGACATTTTAATCGTGCATTTAACATTCTAATGGTATGTCTTACATTTGACTCATGTGTTAGATCAATAAATAACCGTTACATCTAATTAGTTCATGGTAAAGTCATTTTTATGTCTTTCATTATATATTTTTCGAGCTTCATATTCCTCGGGGATGAAAGCATAAATATCCCTAACTTTCAAAGGTCTTTCAGTATTTCTTTTTGCAAATTCTCTCTGCAGCTCGGCTACATGGTTTACATCTGAGGGCGTAGAAAAATTTTTGGTGTTTACGCGTGTCTGCGAGGAATGCCATCCAACGAGGTGGTCGGGCCGGTAGCTCGTCTATCCCTGTAGTGTCTGTTAGACAGGACAGATCTACTGGGGTCTGTAAACTGTGGGGGAGAGAGCCTGAGTGGGAAGGCTTCCTTCCACAACATGTAATGACGTCCCATGTTTTGGAAGTTTGCTTATTATGATACGATGTAAGAACACTGGTGTCTCTGAGCTCCTCCCCTCATATCTAAGCTTCTTAAACACACAGGTGCTGCTCACAGCATGTGGGTAAAAATAAGCCTGTGTCGATTTAACAGCAGAGCTGCTGCTAAACATCACCGTCCATCAAAAAGAAAAGGCTGAGTTTGCACAGGGAAGCACGGCCAAACAGATGGTGCCAGGAACCCGGCGAGCAGCCCATCCCTATCTGACCTCTCAGGGAAAAAACATAAAAACTGGTTTGGTTTCCAAGCATTGTGGAGGTTGGCACAGATCCTGCAGCACTGATAAGATAATTAGTAAAGTTCCTCATTCATTTATTCATAGTCATCTGTAGTATTTGGAGCAGCATTAATAACCTTTTCACTTCTGTTATGAGCGTAAAACCATTAACTTTAAAGCATTTTATTGGCTTAAAATGCAACAGATTAAAACAAAGTCGTTTGTTAAGTGAAGGGAAAAGATGCATGGTTATCATTTTGGACAAAAAAGAAATCTAAACATTGACTTTCATCTCTTTGCTAAACAAAAAAAATCACACTAAACCAGCTTCATTTGATTTAATGTAAAAAATTAGTTAAAAAAGTGTTAAAATAAAGGCTGATTTATACTCAGAAACCAGGTGGTCTGCGCAGATATGCCCCCACCCCTTCTGCAGACCTCTCCAAAATTGTAAGTGACCGCAAACAGTGCCGCAGACAGGAGGCCTCTGATTGGTCAAATCTACATCCGCTCTACTCTATGTGTATTTCCTGTTTGGTACCTTACCAGCTTGTTTTGTTTAAATGACCACCATTGTGGAAAACTGCGCATGAAGATGGACCAGCTAGAAGAGCGAGGTGCGCAAGAACGCTGGGACCCTTTTTCCACCTGTATTCCCACTCTTTTTCACCCTCATGTCCCTCCATTGTCGCACAAACTTGCCCCCACGGCCTCGGCCGTATCCAGACCCACAGCTAGTTCCCGATCGACTCTCTTGTGTCGTGGCGGGCAATAACACAGCGCAGACCACGCTTCAATATTGGGCATAAATCAAAAATATCTGCGACAATCTCACTGCGACTCACTGCTTCAGGAGGATAACCAGCCCTTTAGTGCTGAGGTTGTCAACAGGAGGTCCGTGACCCCTAGGGGGTCCATGTAGGTACTGCATGGGGGTCACGAAAGTTTTGGTTGATTAGACTTTTTTTTTTTTTTTTATATTGCCCCTGCAATTTTTTCCACTAATTGAAATGTCTTTAAATACACATTAACATGAATTCAACGTAATTTTCTAATGATTCTGCCACCTGTGGACAAAACACAGAACTGCAGCACTCTTCTGCTCGTTCTCATTGCTCGTTTTTTTCACCTTACAATGAGTTGCCACTGGTGGCTGAGTTGATCCAGATGTCACATCCGCCAAACAGCGAAGGGAACTCACTATAAAGTAAATTAATGAAAACAGGCTACAGGCTCTTAGATGCATCGGCGCCGAACTACTGAGGCGTCACTCTTTAGTCATAAAGGGACAAATAAAAAGGGCATTATAAAGATATTTTTCAGTGCATCATTTCTCTTTAAATTGAGAAGGAAAATAAGATAATCTGCTATTTAAACGTGAATTTCTGCTCTTAAAAAATGTATTAGATATTGTGAATATGATATATGATAATTATGATTGCACTTTATTTAAATAGAAACAATCCTATGCCATCAGCAAACTGACGAGTTATATATGGAGTGATTTTTGTCTGTTATTGTTGCAAGCATAGGAACACATTTTGCAAATAGTAATTTGAAGAAAACGCAATCCAGAAATAAAACTTTGAAGTGTTTCTTAATAAAAAAAAATTTTTCTCAGATTGTATTTTCTTTCTTTTTTCCATAAGTTTTTTTTGTTATGTATGTTCTAAAAATCCTTTTTGAAGTTTTCTTCCAGGTTTCATTTCTGGGTTGCATTTTTTTTTCTCCAAATTTCCATTTACAAAACATCTTCTTTACTTGCAGCAATAATGGAACAAAATTTGCTCCATATTCAAATCAGAGGAAAATGCATTAAAAAAAATGTATTTAAATTTTATTATTAAAGGGAAGATGACTCGACAGAAATTCTCTGAAAAACAAAAAAAGTCAGAGAGCGACTCCAACATTTGCAGAATATTGACACAACAATGGAAGTGAAAAACATGCCGTACTTTACAGATTTTTGTTTGCAAAACATTTGGCAAACTCATTTATTTCCCTTCCTATTGTCTCTCCTCTGAGTTGGTCAATAAACAAATGACCCACTTGAAGCTTATGGCTGCAACATGATAGCATGCAAATTGATTGAAAGGGGACTGGGTATGCAAAGCGCCACAGGAAGGCCTTTAAAGAAAATGCCGTGGTGCAAAAACACAAAGAGGGAATTGATTGGTGAAATTTTGATGAATACGGGGGAAAATCCCAGCGTTATTGCAGGCAGGCTGACGAGTCAGAGCTCGTCAGCCGTTAGTTCTGGAGAGGTTCCATTTCTAATGAATTAAGGAAGGCCGATTGGATGGAATTACCTTGTTGGTGGCCGACTTCTGGAAGCTGGAAACCTTCCTGACGGCGAGTTCTGATGCCTCAAAGCCATCTTCTTCAAACTTCAACAGAAGAGAATCCTGATGAGAAAGAGAGAACTGTTTAACACATCTTAGTCGTGTGTGAGATTTATCAACAAATTATTGGCTGCCTTTCTCTACTTTATGACTTGATCCAGAGGTCATAGATTAGCGGACCGGGGTCAGATTTTATGCCAGATTTCAACATGATGTTGAGCCGTTTAAACACGACACCAATAGCAAAGCAGACAGTGGTTCTTTTAATTACTATGTTAATAACTGTGTATAGTTCATTAGACGGTTGGGAAAAAATACACTGATATAATATGTTTCACACCGCAATAAAGATCTTAAAAAAAAAAGATGTATTTGAGTATTTTATTTTTTACACTACCACTTGGAATTATGGGTAACCAAGAGCGTAGATTAAAACCATAACCGTTACGTCTAATGTGTTAGCGA